TTATATCCTACAGAATTAAAAGAATTGCTTTGTGGTAATTCAGAAGAAAGCATACACTACAGAAAATATATCAGAAACTATAATAATGCAGTAGCTTTTGCAAGCTTCGTTGCCACATATGTTCCACACCAGAATAAAGGACCTCAAGTATTTAAAATTTGTGGTCAAATTTACCACAGCACTTACTCATTACACCCTACCGATAACAGCAGAAGAAAATATGGTCAACTGTATATAATTGATAATGAATTAGCAACAGAATTTCGAAAGTCTGATAATAATAACTGCAGAATTAATATATTACATTTTTTAGAAAATATATTTAGAAGATGTAGCCCATATGCTAAATCATATAAAATGATGTATGAGGTAGAAAAGGAAGAATACAAATTATCTCAAAATAATAATACTTTTCCTCGTGAGATAAAAATGATTTTAAAAAGGCATTATACTTTGGATAAAAACAGATACAATTTGCCAACATCAAATGAAGTGGCAGTTGTATTTGTAGATGAAGATGGTGAACCTCCAATTGAACGTGATTTTTGTATATATTCTAAATTTGATAAACCAATTAGCATTCCTTCTATAAGTAGACATGTAGATCCAATGACATATCCACTAATGTATCCTGCAGGTGGTAATGGTTGGATGCCAAATTTAATCTCAAATGACAAAAAAAATAATATTACAGCATTACAGTTCTATTCATACAAATTTAGTGTTAGAGATGATTTTAACGTAATTTTGAATTCAGGAAAATTAACTCAACAGTATGTAGTTGATGCTTTTGTAAAAATTGAAAGTGGAAGACTTTATTTTATAAAACAACAACAACACGTTTTAAGAACTGAACTATATTCTGGATTAATGGACTATCTGCATAAAAAAAAAGAACAAAAAGGAAATATTCAAATTGGAAAAATGTTTATTTTGCCGTCTACTTTTACTGGCAGTCCTAGAGCGATACAACAAAACTTCAGCGATGCAATTTGTCTAGTTCAAAAATTTGGAAAACCAGATTTATTTATAACTATGACATGCAATCCAAAATGGAAGGAAATTACTAATAACATTAAAGAAACTGAAGATGTACTAAGTCGGCCAGATATAGTTAGTAGAATATTTAATTTAAAAGTTAAAGAATTAATAAATGAAATAATTACCAAAAAAATTTTTGGAATGTGTATTGCTTACACATATGTCATTGAATTCCAGAAGAGAGGATTACCTCATATACATTTATTATTATATTTACATAAAAATGACAAAATTAAAACAGCAGATGATGTTGATAAATTTATAATGGCAGAAATACCAGATGAAAAAATTAATACACGTTTATTTAATTTAGTTAAACAATTCATGATCCATGGACCTTGTGGCAAGCAAAATATGAATTCACCTTGCATGAATGCAAATACAAACAAATGTACAAAAAAATTTCCAAAGCAATTCACTAATGAAACGGAATTTAGTACTGCAGGATATCCTATGTATAGACGAAGAAACGATGGTAAAAATATAATATTTTCAAAAAATAGAATTGCTGATAATAGATTTGTAGTACCCTACAATCCATACTTGCTTTTGAAATTAAATGCTCATATTAACGTGGAACCTATATTTTCTTCATTACATTCAGTAAATATTTATTTAAATATTGTTATAAAGGACATGACTGTGCTCTTATAGAAATGAAGAGTATGCCTAATACACCAGTTATTGAAAATGATGACAACAGTGAGGTAAATATAGTTAAAGATAATAGTATAGCATATGATGAGATAAAGCAATACATAAATACAAGATATGTATGTCCTCCTGAAGCAATGTATAGGATATTTGAATTTCCACTTCATGATTTGTCACATACAATTTACAGATTAGCTATTCATAATGAAAACGAACAAAATATATATTTTAAAGAAGGTCAAGAAGAACAATTTTTGAACAAGAACGTCCACACTACACTTACTGCATGGTTTGAATTAAATAAAATAGATGCATATGCTAGGAATTTATTATATCTTGACATCCCTCAACACTATGTCTTTAATAAAAGTACAAAAAAATGGACTAAAAGAAAAATGATAAGGAAACCTGTCATAAGTAGAATGTATTTAGTTAGTCCACGTCAACGTGAAAAATTTCATCTTCGATTACTACTATTGCATGTGAAAGGTCCTACATCCTTTACAGATATACGAACAGTTAATGATGTAGTTTTTCCAACATTTTTTGAAGCCGCTAAAGAGAGGCAATTGATATCAGCTGAAGATGAATGGGATAAATGTCTTGACGAAGCTTGCAAAGTACAGTTACCAAGAGCAATATGTGAACTTTTTGCCTATATATGTGTATATCATAACCCAATTAATGCTAGAGAATTGTATGAAAAGTATAAAATGCATTTTTATTTTCCTAAAATGCAACAGGATCAAGGGGAACTGTGGGCTTTACAGATAATTAATAATATTTTAACGATGAATTCCTTTTCTTTACAAGATTTTCATCTACCGACAATAAAAGATTTATCTGATTTTCGAATATATAACACTGACTTTAATTCACAACTTACAAATAATATCGATAATGGAAGAATTATAAACACTTTAACAAAAAGTCAGACATATATATTTACTTCTGTAACAAATGCAGTTAATAATAAAAATGTAAATAGAAATTTTTTTATTGATGGTCCAGGTGGTTGCGGAAAAAGCTATTTATTAAATGCATTAATTGGCTATTTTGAAATGAACAAGATTCCTGTTTTATCTGTGGCATGGACTGGAATCGCAGCAAATTTATTAATTGGTGGCAAAACTGTGCACACAGTATTTAAGTTACCGTTAACAATCAATGAACAAACAACGTGTAACATAAAGGCAAACACAATTGACGGTAATAAAATTAAAAATTGTGAAGTTATAATTTGGGATGAGATAACAATGACATCCAGATATGCATTTGAAGCTGTAGATAGATTATTAAGAGACCTATGTCATAATAATAAAATTTTTGGAAATAAAATTATAATTACTTCAGGTGATTTTAGGCAAACATTACCAATTGTTAGACATGGAAACAGGACTCAAATTGTAAATAACTGTGTTAAAAACAGTATTTTATGGTTGAATTTTAGATGCTTCACGTTAAGTGAAAATTTAAGACTATCTGATAATGACAAACTTTTTAACTCATGGCTCCTGCAGGTTGGAAATGGAAAGTTTAATAATCAATTTGAAGAGAAAAACCAAGCAGTATTACTGCCTAAAGAAATAATATGCAACAACGACATAATAACAGAAATATATGGTAATGAAATTAACCCAAACGATCATGACATCCACGAAAAAATAATATTAGCGCCACGAAATAATGATGTATTTGAATTAAATAATGAAATTCTTGAAAGAATTAGTGGCAAAAGTAGGGAATATTTAAGTATAGATTTATGTGAGGAAGATGAAGAAGATAATACATTAAATAAACTTGTGCCAACTGAAATTTTAAATACACTTACTCCAAATGGACTTCCACCGCATAAATTATGTTTAAAAATTGGAGCAATTGTGATACTCTTAAGAAATATTAATTTAGAAAAAGGTCTTTGTAATGGAGTAAGATTAAAAATTATAAAATTGGAAAATTATACCATTTATGCCCAAATACTTACCGGTAATTACAAAAATGAAATTGTAATACTGCCACGAATAACATTGTCACCTTCTAATGAAGAAATACCATTTAATATGTCCAGAAAACAATTTCCAGTAAGATTAGGATTTGCTTTAACTATAAATAAATCTCAAGGTCAATCATTTTCAAAAGTGGGAGTATACTTACCATCACATGTTTTTAGTCATGGACAATTATATGTAGCTTTCTCAAGAGTAACTTCTAAAATGAATTTAAAAGTATTATTAACTTCAAATTCATATATTCTTAATAATAATAAAAAAAATAAAGAACAAGAAACATATGTAAGAAATATTGTTTTCACTGAAGTCTTAGATTGCTAAGCCACAATCATAAACGTTTAGTAACGCGCCGAAAAATAACGGCTGCGTATTTTAATAACAACTATATGAAACAGATGAAAAGCAAAAAGTTAAGAAACTGACAATTAAGCAAGACAGCGCTAAATAATACTGGCAGCGTTTTTAAATATAACTAAATAATGACAAACATGATATAAAAAATAAAATAGCAAAATTAAAGTCAGCGCTATACTATATCAGCTGCGTCTTTAAGTAAAAAGTAAATCATATCTGAAAATAATAATAACTATTACAAAGAAATATTAAAAGACAGCGCTGAACAATATCGGCTGCGTCTTTTAAAAAATAAAGTAATTACAATATTTGAACTATCAATAAAAATGTCTAAAAAATAAAGTTAAATAAACAATAAATAACAGATGACAGCGCTGAACAATATCGGCTGCGTCTAATAATAAAAATTATTAAATTACTATGTAATAAAGTATTGACATAAAATGTTTCATATATTCTTAATATTAATAAGAAAAATAAAGAACAAGAAGCATATGTAAGAAATATTGTTTTCACTGAAATCTTAGATTACTAAGCCACAATTATAAACGTTTAGTAACGCGCTGAAAAATAACGGCTGCGTATTTTAAGAAAAACTATATGAAACAGATGAAAAGCAAATAGTTAAGAAACTGACAATTAAGAAAGACAGCGCTAAATAATACTGGCAGCGTTTTTTAAATATAACTAAATAATGACAAAAATGATATAAAAAATAAAGTAGCAAAATTAAAATCAGCGCTGAACAATATCGGCTGCGTCTTTAAGTGAAAACTAAATCATATCTGACAATAATAATAACTATTACAAAGCAATATTAAAAGACAGCGCTGAACAATATCGGCTGCGTCTTTTAAAAAATAAAGTAATTACAATATTTGAAGGATCAATAAAAATGTCTAAAAAATAAAGTTAAATAAACAATAAATAATAAATGACAGCGCTGAACAATATCGGCTGCGTCTAATAATAAAAATTATTAAATTACTATGTAATAAAGTATTAACATAAAATGTTTCATTGAAGCATACCGTGATGATAATCTTACAGGTAATAATTTGTAAAATAATTTATATATATTTTATTACATTAAGTTATAATATTGAAATAGTAATATTAAAAAAATTATTAAATATATATCTTTCTCTTTTTTTAATAATGAAAAGAAAATTTCTTTTTTTCAAATTTTACGCTATTCTTTTCCATTATTTTCTTTTAAAATTATTTTTATTAATTAATTAATTTATTTATTATTTTTATTCTATTTTTTCATTCAATTTCACCATTTTTATGTGGCTCTCTTTGTTTTCATTTTTTGTTTTCGTTTTTTTTATCTTCTGTGTATTTTTATTTTTTTTTCCTGTTTATTATAAATTTCCTTCTTTTTAATTTTTTAAAAATTGTATTTTTTATTTATTAAACAATAAATTGAGTCTATTGTTTAAATAATTTTTAATTAATAAATAAAAATTACATTATATAAATACAGTCGACTCTTGAAAATTCAAACCTTTGATAATTTGAAACACTTGTTTATAATTCAAAGCAAACTGTTGGTCCCTTGAAATACTCTTGATAATTGAAAATTTTTTGCATTATAATTGGTATACATGCAGTAATTTAAAGTAAAATTTAAGGCACTTCTGAACGAAATAGGCAGTAATTGTAAGTGGTATAATTTTTTAATTTTTTTTTAATTTTTTAATTTTAAAAAGTACAACATTTTTGAAGTTACATTTATTTGAATTTGAAATAAATATTTTTTAAAAATAAAATAACCTTTGTAATTGTCAGTTAATGTTGACTTTAAACGAGAAACAAACGAGAAATGAATGAGACGAGAATTATTAATCAAAGACGAGATTTTTTATTATGAGAATAGTTCACAATCTATCGAGATCGATGAGACATCTGAGAATCTCGTCTCAATGTACATCACTACTGACCGGTTCATTGAAAATCAAAAACCAAATATTTTCTGTTAGTGGATGAGTATAGCTCGTGATTGAACGAAGGAATATTTTTTTTTTGTTGATTAGAATCCATTTTACATTGTTTTAATGGTTATAAAAATTTTAACTTTTGATAAAATACACTGTCAAACATCCAAATTTCAATTTCTTTGAAAACCCTTCGTTCAATCACGAGATATATTCACCTACTAACAGAAAATTTTTTGTATTTTGATTTAAAATGAAGCAGTCAAAAGATATCTTGACCACCGCAAAAGCAATTTTTTTGAAAGGGGCCCGAAGAACTGTTGCTACGGGCCTGATTTTTAATATTTTTTATCAAAAATTTAATATCTTTCTCATTTGATAGTGTACTTTCAGATACCAAAGTGTTCAAATAAAAAAATTTATTTATTTTATGAAAAAAAAATTATTAAAAAAACATACGTTTTCAGGTCGTTTTGACCTATGTAACCCCTTAAGAAACATTATTTATTATTCACTGTTTTATTTTCAGTAGTTTGAGTTTAAAGTCTCTTAATTTGAACCTCTCAGTAATTTGAAACTCTTGGTAATTGAAAGTTTTTTCTCAATCCTTTCAACTTTTAATTACCAAGATACGACTGTATTAATTGAATGGTTTCTTTTTATTTATTTTTTTTTATTTTTCTAGATTTTGTTGTCAATTGAAATTGATTATTTTCATTTCCAACGAATCATGAATAGTTTTCATGATGATGATGATGCAGAAGATAGGCCAAAATTAATTTTTTTTAATTTATTGCGGGAAGAAGATGGAGAATTTGGTCATGATGATGATGATGATGATGATGATGATGAACAAGTTGCAATGGAGCAGGATGAGGAACAAGTTGCAATGCAACGAGACGAGGAAGAAGAAGATGAAGAACAAGAAGGAGTAGATAAAGAAATGGAAATTCAAGAAGCAATAAGGAGAAAAGAAGAAGAAGAAGAAGCAGAAGAAAAAAGTTGTCAAGAGTACTTGGAAAATTTAAATGGACTTAATAATCATTTTGAAATTGGAAATGTTGATTAATTATGACACATGACATTTATAGAATTTTATATGTTAAAAAATTTAATTTACATTTAAATAAAAAGAAGGAAATTATTTGAAAAATAATGTATTTAATGGTAAATGAAATTATTCCTTTTTTTAAATCCATATCCTTCTTCTTATTCTCTCCCTTTTTTTCATTTATTATTGGAACTATTTTTTCCCTTTGATTTAGTCAATTTTTTTGTACCTCATCAAATTTTTCTAGGGAACTCTAGTAACAAGTTCATGCAAAAGAAATCCGTCCGTGAATATAATATATAATAAAAAATTGAATAAAAATTTAGAAACATTGATAAGTCAACAAGAAAATTTCTTTCAACAAATGGAATATTACATCAATAATTTAATTAACAATAACAAAACTAGAATTGAATAAATTCACATAGAAAAGAGAAAAATCCTCAAAATTAGAAAGGAAAACTTTAGTTCCCATATGTAAGAGGAAAAAATGCTACAAAAAGAAGAGAAATCCTCAAAATAAGAATTATAAAAAATTTTAAGTTTTTGTCTTAGACTAAAAATTGCGCAGTGTAGAATGTCCACCGTTTTCCCTATTTAAAAAAACATTATTTTCTAGATACGTAGGTTTTTAAATTGCACCATCAGCACCATTTTTAAACGAGATGAAAATAATGTTTCTTTGTCCCAAATATTTGCAGTATCAAAAGGTAATTAAAAATAGAGATTAGAAAATATTCCGATCTTACTTACATCTTTTCAGATTAATTCAATGATAAACATAAAATAATTATACAAAAATAATCATATTGAGAAATTGAAAATTGATAATTTTAATATAAAAAAAACTGGTAATATTTTTGAAATGTCGCGCAGGTCAGGGAAAATGCTCAGAGAATTTAAGAAATTTCATAATATGATGACATAACCTTTGATTAAAATTATAAATTTCTTATTATTTGAATGTATATATATTAATAATGTTTGCAAGAATTTTTTCAACTAGTTAATGGTTATTGTCTTTAAAAAAATTCATCATGCTACAGACGATATTATATTAATTAATGTTTTTGTAATTTTTAGATATCAGCATTTATGAAAATAACCATCATGATGACAGTAGCATTTTTATTTGCTATTTTTATAGCATTTTATTTTATTCCTGACATTGACAAAACATTACTGCGTATGCGTGATACTCATAGAACACTACTGTGCATGCCTAATGTTCATAGAACACTACTGCGCATGCCTGATATTTATAGAACACTACTGCGCATGCGTGATACTCATAGAACACTACTGCGCATGCGTGACATTCATAGAACACTACTGCGCATGTATAATACTCATAGAACACTACTGCGCATGTATAATACTCATAGAACACTACTGCGCATGACTAATATTCATAGAACACTACTGCGCATGTTTAATACTCATAGAACACTACTGCGCATGCGTGACATTCATAGAACACTACTGCGCATGTATAATACTCATAGAACACTACTGCGCATGACTAATATTCATAGAACACTACTGCGCATGACTAATATTCATAGAACATTACTGCGCATGTCTGACATTCATAGAACACTACTGCGCATGCGTGACATTTATAGAACACTACTGCGCATGTGTAATACTCATAGAACACTACTGCGCATGTGTGACATTGATAGAACACTACTGCGCATGCGTGACATTCATAGAACACTACTGCGCATGTATAATACTCATAGAACACTACTGCGCATGACTAATATTCATAGAACACTACTGCGCATGACTAATATTCATAGAACATTACTGCGCATGACTAATATTCATAGAACATTACTGCGCATGTCTGACATTCATAGAACACTACTGCGCATGCGTGACATTCATAGAACACTACTGCGCATGTGTAATACTCATAGAACACTACTGCGCATGTGTGACATTGATAGAACACTACTGCGCATGCGTGACATTCATAGAACACTACTGCGCATGTATAATACTCATAGAACACTACTGCGCATGACTAATATTCATAGAACACTACTGCGCATGACTAATATTCATAGAACATTACTGCGCATGTCTGACATTCATAGAACACTACTGCGCATGCGTGACATTCATAGAACACTACTGCGCATGTGTAATACTCATAGAACACTACTGCGCATGTGTGACATTGATAGAACACTACTGCGCATGCGTGACACTGATAGAATACTACTTTGCATGTGTGACATTGATAGAACACTACTGCGCATGCGTGACATTCATAGAACACTACTGCGCATGCGTGACATTCATAGAACACTACTGCGCATGTGTAATACTCATAGAACACTACTGCGCATGTCATACATGGGTAAATGTTTTTTGGACATGTGTATGAGTGAAGTGTTTTAGTAGATGTTAGACAGAATAGAAAGAGGTGTGAGTCGGTCGGTCGGTCGGTCGGTCGGTCGTACATTAACTTAATATAATAAAATAGAGGAAGTTTTCAAGGATCAAAGCTAACAATATTTAATAGTTTGATATTAGTGGCGTTTCAATTTCTACCACAAAAAGTCCAATTTTTCTTCACGAAATCGAAATATTTAAAAAAGCATTTTTTTGTTTAAAGATCTGCTCATTTACTTTAAAAAAGAAAAATACTTTGTTGTGATATTATAAATCTCCTTACAGAATGAGAAAATAGTAGTCAAATTTTGACGCCTTTTACGCATTTTTGCCGCTTCTGTCACTTGCACGCTGACGCCAATTCTGACGCACTGCCGCTCAAGTGGTTAAACTCTTCTAAAAACTTTGGTGTAGTTCATATAATTTTTAATATAATATAATATAATTCGTAATAATTTATAAAAAATACCTATATAGTAATTATTGACAACAAATTGCTTTCTTATTTCTTTTATACTACTATTAGTAGCATTTTTTACTCTATCTTTAAATTTTCTTCAGTTTTATTATTCTTCTAGTGACTATTTAAATAATATTATTGTGTATAAAAGTCTCATAAATGTTTTAAAGGTGCATGTAATGTAATCGAGGGGGTATTTATTTGTGAATTAGCGTGTACGCTCCTCGCGTATTAGTCACGTAATAGAGTGTAATAGAGCATTATTACGTCAGTCTAATACCACATAATATAAAGGTAATATTCTGTAATAATCAGTAATACCCTGTAATAGTTCTGTAATACCCTATAATACTAGATAATACGCATAATAGCAGAAAAATGTAGTGTATTAGAGTGTACACCATTTTAAACATTTTAACCATTTTAACCCCCTTGAATGTAATTATTCGTTAATTGTTTGACATTATTATTATTCGTAATAGCAAATTTTTTTGATAAATTAATTTGACAAAGAATTTTGTAAAATCTATTTATATTTAAATGAAAAATTATATAATATAAATTTGTTCTAAAAATTTAGAAATTTCATTAATTAAGCTTAAATTAATTGCTTTAATCTTTCATTTAAAAAGTAATTTTTAAGCCTTTCCTTATACTTGTAACTTTGAAAATTTACATTTTTCAATTAACATTATTAAATATAATGTATATTATACATAACATAATTATACTATTGTTGCAAATACAGTATCCTTTTTCAAGTTACAAAGCACATTTTCATAGTTCCTTCGTTATATATGTAAATTCTAAACTTCCTTTCATGAGCCTCCGTGGCGCAGTTGGTAGAGCGTTTGATTTCTAATCCACTCCTAGCTGCGTCTTGCGTTCGAGACCTCGTGATTGTAAATATTTAAATAAATATCAAAACAAATTTTCTTCGACATGTATAAACATTCCGGGTATGTATGACATGCGAGAACAGCGTAGAATATTTTTTTAATTTTAATTTAAATATTTTTTAATGACAGATATGAGTAACAGATATTTGTAACTGTTCTAGAACTGTGACAAGTATCTTCGTCACCATGTTACAGATCTGTTACTTAACTGTGACATCCCCCTGACTACGACATTTTGCGTACCCAGTGAGTCCCCTGTGAGTCACCAGTTACAGAACATGTTCTTCAATTATTTGTCACAGTTCTGTAACAGATCTGTAACAGTGTTTGCTGGGGTATGGTATAATTTTTCCATATCCCTGTTGAAAATTTCCACATGGGATTTTACATTTTACCCGTTTTTGCGTAATGCCCAGATAGAATTTTGGAAAGCAGCAACATATCCCAAACATTTCTAAAATTCAAGAAGAAAATTTTTAATTCATAAATAGGAATTTGTTATTTATTTTCAAAGTCATTTCTAATACATTTCTACAATTCAAAAATAAGAAAATTTTGATTCATAAATCCTAATTTGCTCTAATAACGTCTTAAAGAATTTCTATGTCCCAGTGCCCGCTGAAGTCAAATTTCAGTTTTATTGATACTTTTACTGTTCCCTTTATATTGAACATATATATTTTATTTTCTACGTTAAATATGACAATACATACTACAAAATTTTCAAACTTAAAACCTTAAAATATCCATATAGAAATTGTTTGCAAACTCACGTTCATTGATTTTAGAAAATTTGTAATAAACATCAAATTCATGACTCTAAACTTGTAAATAAAATAAATTTAATGAATGTAATTTAAAATTTAAAAACGTCAACCGATATCAATACCAATTTCATAAAAAATTAAACAATATTAAAAAAAAATTAATTAAACATTTTGTCGAAAATAAAAAATATGATTTTTGCTTAGAAATTCGGATTTATTATTTATATTTTATTTTTATAGTGAAAATTAGTTGTATTTTTATTAAAAAGTAGCTACAGAAAGTGTCACATCAATTTGACAAAAAATTAAAAAATTTGCCTTTTTTTAATTTTGTAAAAAAGGCCATAACTTTTGTTCAGCTTAATATTTTTCAATCGGATACGGCCAGAAATTTAAGTTAGACTAATACCTAAGAGACTGTTAAGTTTCGTTTTAATCGGTCAAGTAGTCTTTGTGTTCATCCCGGACAAAATATTGCGGACAGAC